GGCTGGCGGTTGGCGGACCGGAAGACGCCCGCACGAAGGGGGGCTGGGGGGCGGCAGCCGGGGCGAGCCGCGGCGGGCTGGCCAGGCCAGCGCGGTACAGAGGCCGCTGAGGCAGTCGCGAGGAGGCGGGCCGACGTGGCCAGGCGCGGCGGGCGCCGAGGAGGCTAAGCGCCAAAAGGCGGCCAGGCGGTGCGGGCCCAGGCAGAGGGCGCAGAGACAAGGGGGGACGGAGAAGCAGAAGCCAGCACAGGGCCGGTCCACCTGCCACGGGTAATTGGCGCAGCCCCTGAAACATAAGAATCAAAAACAGGAAACAAACATGCAGCGAGAAGGGCAGGATTGCGGGAACAGAGGGGGAGGGAAGGGGCAAAACGTAAGGAGAAGGACGGAGCACGAGAAAGATTAGCAGGACAGTGGTCATGAGCAGAGAAACAAGCGGCTGAACAAGACGGGCGGGTCGGGCGGGCGGACCCCGAAGGGCGGGTCGGGGGGGCGACCCAGACGGCTGGGTCGAGCGGCTGGGTCGTTGAAGCGTCAGTCTTGCATGGATCGAGAGGGGGTCCAGAGCGAGAGCGCGTGACGAGGGCGCGGCGTTTCAACTGATTGTGAGTGAGTCCTGGGCAAAAAGCGCGATTCCTAGGTGTCGTGGGTGCGGCGCCTGAATACATTGAGAGGAACTTCCACGCGAGAGCGCGTTTGCAGATTGCACGGATGTCCCAAGCAGGAGCGCGATCCTTCAATAAATGATTAGGAAGTAGAGGGGGGAGCCGTTTCTGTAGTAGCTTCGGGACCAACAGCCCAGCTTGGAGACCCAAGACTTTCCCTGGTAGAAAACAAGGTACGAGCCCAGCACAAGGGGCGTCAGAAGGAGGGCATCAACAAGAATGGTTTGTTTCAGAAATTCCCAAACAGTATTTGCAGGGTCCTGATTTCTGTTATGAGAATCCGGGCCGAGTCTTCGGTCTGGCGGCTATGTGGCCGCCGTCGCCGCCCCGTCGCCGCCTCGTCGCCGCCCGTCTTCTGGGCCGTGTCTTCGGTCTGGCGGCTATGTGGCCGCCGTCGCCGCCCCGTCGCCACCTCGTCGCCGCCCTGGATTGCACAGCACAGATTGTACTTCATAGATTGCACCACACAGGTTGCACCGCATAGGTTGCACCACATCGAGTGCACAACATAGCTTGCAAAACATTGTTTGCACGGCATAGATTGCACCACATGCATTGCACATCATAGATTGCACCACATACCTCGCACAGCATAGCACCACATAGATTGTACCTCATAGAGTGCACAACATAGTTTACACCATTTAGATTGCACTATTTAGACTGCACCACGTAGACTGCACAACGTAGATTGGACCGCATATATTGCACCACATGTATTGTACAACATATATGGCATCACATTGAATGCACAACACATGCTGCACCACATAGACAGCACCACATAGACTGCACAACAACGATTGTTAGAAACATATTGTGTGGGTCCACGCTGGCTTACATTACAGTCAACAATCATCAGCTTCAGACAGGTATGTATTCACGGCACGCGTGCCATTCAGCATGTAGCCCAAACCATCGACACCCGCCCTCTTCGGCTATGAGCGTAGCCCATTTGGGGAGCACTCTGGATATGACAGCAAGTGGGAAAGACCGGCCAGAGTAGAGAGGAAGACCAAGCGGGCGGAGCCAAACCGGCGGGACGGGCGGGCGGACCCCAGCAAGCGGGTCTGGCGGGCGGGCCCTAGCGGACGGGTCGGGCGGGCGGTACCTTGACGCGCGAGTTCCGAATAGATCGTGAAGAAGTTTCAATCCTCCTTCATCCCTCTCCTCGTCCAACGACGACCACGTCCACGTCCATGACCGCGACGGCGGCGGTAGGGACGACGGCGGCGGCAACGACGACGACGACTACGACGACAACGAATAAGACGAACACGACGACGACGAATAAAACGAACACGACGACGACGAATAAGACGATCACGACGACGACGACGACGACGACGACGACGACGACGACGACGACGACGACGACTCGGCGCAGCGAGGCGGTCTGCTTGCTCATCAAGTTCCGGGAGCGCGCGGGGGCCCCGGGTCTGTGGCCGGGCCCGCGGGCCGCCGCCTCCGCGGCCGTCCCTCGGGGGGCGGCGACGACGACGACGACGACGACGACGACGACGACGACGACGGACAGGCCGGGGTGGGGGAGGGGGGGAGGTAGAGGAGGAGGAGGAGGAGAAGGAGGAGGACGACGAGGACGGCGACGAGGACGACGAAGAGGAGGAGGAGGAGGAGGAGGAGGAGGAGCAAGAGGGGGAGGGGAAAGTGGAAGGGGGAAAGGGAGGAGGTCCCCCTCGGAGTAGGGAGCAGTTCCGCACCCCTCTGGGGATCTTCCTCCTCAGGGAGAGGAGGAGGAGGAGGAGGAGGAAGCAGGAGAAGATGAGGAGGAGCAGGGAGAGAAGGAGGGTAAGGAGAGCGGGCCCACGAGGCCCAACATCATGCCCAGGCAAGGGAGCGGAGAGGGAGAGGCACTGCTCCTTCCGTCTCCTTAGAAAGGGCCACACTGGCCAAGCAGGAGGTGCTTATGTTCTATGGTGGGCCTCAGGCGGACAAGAAAGTGCACAGGTGAGCATTATCGTTGATCCGCCCAGCATCTTGCAAGTGTTCTTTTGTGGATCATTCGCAGTGCATTCCATCCTCGCCGAGAGGGGGAGGGGGGGGAGGAGGAAAAGGAGAGGGAGAGGAAGGGGGAGGGACGAGGAGAAGGAGGAGGAGGACGAGGAAAAGGAGAAGGAGGACGACGACGTCAAGCCATTTTGGCTCAAGTCATCTTGGCCCAAGTGAGGTTAGCACAAGACACCCGCACTCCCAGCCAGGACCCCCTGGATCATCAGTTCGGGAGTTGGGGTCCTGGCTGGGGCGGGGGTTGTGCTGTCCTCATCAAATCCGTTTTCGCTCGAAACCGTATCGGACGCAAGACCACATTGAGCTCAACAAGCCGCGGTGCCGTGTCTTTCTGCATGCATGTTGTCGGATACGGGGCATCGGTCGAGAATCTCGAGAAGGTGCCATTGCCTTCGTAGCGTCGACCAAGAGTTGCGGTCGAACAAAACAGTGGAGCGCAGCACTAAAGTTGCTCCGCGAAGGAATTCGACTAGGTGGGCAACTTGCCCCAGGCCACTACATCGCGACTGCCAGCGCATGCAGAAAAGGCGGTCAATGGCAACACGCGCTGACAGTGATCAGTGGGATGTGGGAGGCCAAAGGGGAGCCGAATGTCATCTCGCCTACAATGCTGGGATCAGCGCGTGCGAGAAGGGCGAGCAGTGACAGCGGGCCCTGGCGCTGCTGAGCGATATGCGGGAGTTGAAGCTGGAACCCGACGTCATCATCCCTTCTAAAATGCCAGGATCGCTGCGTGCAAGAAGGATTGTTGCATCAATGGAGTCCCCGACGATCGCGAGCCGCTCGCGACGGCGCCCCAGACGCTCAAGAGACCGCCCCGACGACCCCAAGACGGCTCTGAGACGCTCAAGAGACCGCCCCGACGGCCTTAAGACGGCTTCAACCCGCTCAAGAGGCCGCCCCGACGGTCCCAGAGGCCCCCAAGGCAAGCCAGGAGGCTCCCAAGACGGCCCTGGAGGACTCCCCAGGAGAGCCCCAAGCGGTAAAAATCGCCACATCCCCTTCGGAAAACATACATGTTGGGCATCATTGTGTTTCTCGTCTCCGACGGGGCCACGACGGCCAGACCAGCCCCCAAAATCGCCCCAAGATGCCCCCGTGAGGGCCCCAAGACGATCCAAGACAGCTCCAGGACGGTCCAAGAGGCGCCCAATACGACCCAACGAGCACCCAAGACAGCCCCAAGAGCCGCCCAAGACGGCCCCAAGACGTCCCAAGAGGCGCCCAAGACAGCCCAAGACGGCTCAAGACGGCCCAAAGGCACACAAGACGGCCCAAGAGGGCCCCAAGAGGCTCCCAGGAAGCCGACAAGGAGCCCCAAGAGGCCCCCAACGGCAGCGCGGGGGCGGACGACAGGCGAGAGCCATATCGCAGGCCGCGCACAGCCGGCCCCCATGACGCTCTGAGCGGCTTCGAACTTGCCTCCGTGAGAGGGGGGCGGACGAGAGGCGAGACGCAGATCGCAGTCCCGGAAGAGCGGCGTTGGACGCTCCGAGGGACTTGCGTGCTCGCCTTCCGGGGAGCGTCGTCATAGCGTCCACGGTTGGCGGTGGGAGGCCGAGCAGATGAAGGACCCAGGGACACAGGAGGAGGAGGACGCGACGAGGAGGACCAGGAGGAGGAGAAGGAGCAGGAGGGGCAGGAGGGGGAGGATGCGGAGCATGAGGGGGAGGCCCCAGAAAACCCCGAAGACAGCCCCACCAGGGTCTAGATGACGTACGACCCTCCGAACGTGAAGACTTCAAGAGCAGACGGTGACGCACCCAAGCTCTGAACGCCGAGGCTCCCAAGCGCTAACGGTGGCGAGAATGAGCGCTTACCGCCAGCAGCAAGCACGCACACGTCAAACAAGCAGCACGTGCAGGAGACCAAATTAGGAAGCTCATCAAGGCCTACCGCTGTTCCGCGCTCCGTTCTGGAGTCGGTGGTTCTCGTCACCTGCACGTGCCGATCCTCAAGGCCACGACGACTGGTGCTACATGCGCTACGTCGAGGCAGGCGCCAGAGGAGCAGGTGGCGGACGAGGGCGACGTCGCTGGCGACAACGGAGAGGACGACGACGACGACGACGACGACGACGACGACGACGACGACGACGACGACGACGACGACGACGACGGCGACGGCGACGGCGACGGCGACGGCGACGGCGACGGCGACGGCGACGGCGACGGCGACGGCGACGGCGACGACGCGACTGAACCGACGACCATGATCACAACGACGACGACGCCAAGTCAGTGTGCCAGCGCGGATCCCGAGCACCAGCGCCATGCACTGTGAAGATGGAGCGGGGTGGCCTTTGACAATTTCTGAAACATTTGCACCTGGGGGGGGCGGTTTGTTCAGAAATTGTCTGGGCCCATTTGTGCCCAAGCAACCGTTGTGCTTGCGATTTGCCTTTGGTTGTTTTTCCTTCCCCCCTCTCACCTCCGGGCCACCCTGGCCCGCATTTCGTTGCGGCCCACGTTCTGCAAGCAATGTCATAAGACTCGTCGTGGCCGTAGGCCGCGGGTCAGCCCTAATCAACTACAACTCTGGCATCAGCGCGCGCAAGAGGAGCGAGCACTGGCAGCGGGCGCTGGCGCTGCTGAGCGAGCTGCGGGAGATGAAGCTGGAACCAGACGTCATCTGTTACAGCATTGGGACCATCGCGCGCGAGAAGGGCGAGCAGTGGCAGCGGGCGCTGGCGCTGCTGAGCGAGCTGCGGGAGATAAAGCTGGAGCCCGACGTCATCTGCTAGAGCATTGGGACCATCGCGCGCGGGAAGGGCGAGCAGTGGCAGCGGGCGCTGGCGCTGCTGAGCGAGCTGCGGGAGATGAAGCTGGAACCAGACGTCATCGGCTACAGCGCTGGGATCGGCGCGAGCGAGAAGGGCGAGCAGTGGCAGCGTGCGCTGGCGCTGCTGAGCGAGCTGCGGGAGATGAAGTTGGAGACCGACGTCGTCGGTTACAGCTCTGGGACCAGCGCGCGCGAGAAGGGCGAGCAGTGGCAGCGGGCGCTGGCGCTGCTGAGCGATGTGCGGGAGATGAAGCTGGAGCCCGACGCCATCGGCTACCGCGCTGGGATCGGCGCGCGCGAGAAGGGCGAGCACTGGCAGCGGGCGCTGGCGCTGCTGAGCGAGCTGCGGGAGGTGAAGCTGGAGCCCGACGTCATCGGCTACCGCGCTGGGATCGGCGCGCGCGAGAAGGGCGAGCAGTGGCAGCGGGCGCTGGCGCTGCCGAGCGATGTGCGGGAAGGTGCTGCTGGAGCCCGACGCCATCCTGCATACAGTTCTGGACACTGCGCGTGCCAGAAGGAAAGAATTTGTCCCTGGCACGTGCACTCGCCTATGCGGCCTACGCGCCACTGCGGCCAATTATCTACGTTCTGCGCCCCAGTCGTTTATCCCGCTTCTTGACCTTTGTCCTGGAGCCGCCAACCAAAAAAAAAAAGCCAGAAGGACCCACTGAGAGTGTGTCCCCCGCCGCGGCGCCGCCGCGGCGCCGCCGCGGCTCCTCCTCTCCCGGGGCGCGTCGACGGCCTGCCCCAGGGGAGGGCCCTGCGAGTGGCCCTGCGAGGCCCCCCAACGCGCTCCCGTGCAGCGCAGGAGGGCCCCCGCGGACGGCCCGGGGAGGCCTCCGCCAGCTTCCGCAGAGGTTCCCACATGGCTTCCGAGATGGACACGAGGACAAAGAACGATCGGCACGGTTTGTTCTCGTGTTGCACACGCTTCTTTTCTCACGATCGCCGTGCTGGCCAAGAGAGACACGCCCAGCCCACCCCGAGAGGCTTCCCAGATCGTGCCCAGGACGCCCAGGGAGAGCTCCCAAGAGAGCGCAATACGACGGTCCGTAGCCATTTTGGCTCAAGCAATTGTTTGATTCAAGCCTATCGGAAACCAGCCACGTGAACAGACCACGACCCTTAGCCTCTGTGGATACACAGTCATTAAGAGGCCGCCACTGTGCAACAACCACCATGGATCAGCAGAATCCGAACTTCGTGCCGCAGACAATGGATGGGGATGGTAAGACGGTCGGTGCGCGGGTGCCCCCATCGTTCTGCGCAAAGTGTTGGATGCCGCCGTGCGCTATCTCGGGGTACGAGACCGGTGATCCCACCGCGGGCATGTGTTCAGGCATGGCCCTGTGGGCTTTCATCCTCGAGATTCTCTGCTGCATGGGTTGCGTCGTGTCCCTGTGCTGCTGGTCGCCAGACCCACAGAACATCACAGGGGACGGCTCGCAGCGCACCGTGGAGGACAAGTGCATGGCTGGCTGCTGCGTCGGCTTCCTGGCCATTGCCTTCTGGGAGAACGGCGACTTCTGCTGCGGGCCCGACGGGTCGTGCACCTGGTGCACCGAGGAGGCGATGAAGGGCTGCCTGGCTCACTGGATCCCTGGGCTCGTCGGCCTCCCGCCCCTGGACTGCTGCTACGTCATGTGCATGTGGAGTCCCGAGCAGTCGCGCAGGTTCTTCCGCCGCGACCTGAGCAACCACGGGGGCGGGCAGCCTGCCCCAGTGGGCGCCCCCGTGCAGACCGCTGCAGGGAACCTCCCGTACTTCCAGGTGGCCCCTCCGCCCCAGGCCCCGCAGGTCGTGGGCCAGGTGCAGCAGCCGGTGGTGGCCGGCGCGATCGTCGCTCAGCCAGCAGGGTACGGCGGCCAGGAGTACGGCTCGAACAAGGAGGCGGACGGCACGGCCTGACCTCCGGGCCGCGGGGCGGGGCTCACGTTGCAGCCGGTCGGGAGGCGGGGCAGTTGAGCAGCAGCGGTGGGGGAAGCATTGTGCACTTCCCTTCCCTGCCATAGCGCCATCGCCATAGTCTAATATTCTGGCCCGTCGTCGCCTCCTGCCAGCTCCTGCGGCACTGGGGGGTGCGCCTGGCAAGCTGGGCCAAAGCCGCACGAGGATGGGTCCTCTCTCCCATTCGCGCGGGCACCCCTCGCCGCTCACGGCAAATTCAGGAGGAGGAGGAGGAGGAGGGGAGGCGGGGGGGTGGTGGGGTGTGGAGGGGGAGGAGGAGGAAGCGGAGGCATTGTTCATGCGGTGGGTCGCGGCCCATCTCCGTCATTGTCTGCCAGCGTTCGTGGCGTATGGCTGCATTTGGCCCTGGGCTCGCCAGGCATCGAATCCTGCGATTTCGCCAAGTGTTTCAGACTGCTCGTAGTATTATCTGCTCAGGTCTGAGTTTGAGACATCCTTATAGCAGGCGAAGGACTGCTGGAACATCTCATATCCTGGCCAGGTTCCCACCGCGGACTGTTGCAGCACTTGTTTAGTAACACGCTAGTCTTCTTTAATAATAATAATAATAATAATGAAAATAATAATAATAATAATAATAGTAATAATAATAATAATATAAATATGTATATATAAATATATATATATTTAATAAAAAAAAAAAAAAAAAAAAAAAAAAAAAAAAAAAAAAAAAAAAAAAAAAAAAAAAAAAAAAAAAGAGAGAGAGAGAGAGAGAGAGAGAGAGAGAGAGCGCAATACGACGGCTTCGGGGACCCTCAAGACGGCTCTGGGGATTCAAAGCGGCCGAACAGCCCCCCAGGACGGCCCCAAGGGAGGCCCAGCATGGCCAAGTCTGGGGCGCTCCCCCGCCCTCGCCACGGCCAGCGAGCCCCGAAGAAGCCCCCCAGAGGCTCCCAGACGGCCCCCTGGACAATTTCCAGAGGCTCCCAGAAAGCCTCCAGCAGCTCCCTCGAAACAGCTCTGACCTGCTGCTTGCAGGTCCAAGATCATTCGAGGAAGCGATACCCCACGGGCTCCCGGATGTCGTTCCATCCGAACGGCTCAGATAGTCTCCAAGACAGCATCAGATGATTGGACACAAAAGCACACCCCATACTTCTTGGGAAACCTCTCGCGCGGGAGGGGGTACAGAAAATAGTTGTCCGATCTAGCCGCGGACATCCGGGAACGTTGTTTCTGCAACTTCTCCCGCGCCGAGCGCGTCCCAAGAGGTGTGGGCCTGGCTTTTCCAAATCATCTTGGGCCTCCTTCTCTTCCCCGTCGTTGCTTTCCTCCGCCGCAGGCGCTCCTGCTGGCGGAGTCGGAACCGCACGATTTCCAGGAGGGGGAAGAGGAGGACGAGGAGGTCGCGCCAAGATGACCCAAGACGCTCCCAAAGAGCTCCCAGACAGCCCTAGAGGGCCCCAAGCCAGCCAACGAGACCCCAAGACGGCCCAAGACGACCCCAAGAGGGCCCCACGATGGGGAACTGGAAGCAACAGTTCGCGCCCTCCGCTCCAGGATGATCCCAGAGCCGCCAGCTGGCCCCCAAGAGGCCCCCCAGACGCCCTAGAAGGCGTCCCAAGAGGGCCAAATCAGGTCACAAGAGACTTTCGAGAGGCCGCAGGACACCCCAACTACCGCCTCCAAGAGGCTTCCGCGGGAAGGTCTCTCAGAGAGCTCTGGGACCGCGCAGGCCACCCATGAGAGCAAGGCGCCCATGCGCCTCTTACTTATTTCCTCCCCTCCTTTGCAAAGGCTCTGGTCTGAATGGGCGACTCGTCCAGAATTTTGTTCTGAGGGTGCTTCAGACAGGCTGTCCAATGGGGACATGCTCCGCAGTTACTTCGATCTCCTCCCCAGTCCGCGCAGCCCGCGCGCATCCCCAAAGCCACCATGGAGCATCGTTGGGAAAGAAAGCCCCTTGATGCTTGTTCATGTCCAGCCTTGGCCCAAGCACAGCCTCAAGGTGGCTCAAGGTCATCCTGGGGCGGCCCAAGACGCCCCCACGAAGTACTCGAACGGCAACAGCCCCGGCAGGAGGACGCCAGCCGCACACCTGCGCGGGTCCCTGGCGAGTCCCACCCCGAGCCAGGCACTGGCGCCTGTGGCCCCCCGGACCGCTGGACGCCGGGGCGCCCAGGATCGGCGCTGCAGGGATCGGCGCCGCGAGGTGTGCGGCTGCTGCCGCTGCTGCCCCCTCTCGAGCCGAGGCCGCCCGCTCGCGGTGCTCGCCTGTTGCGGCCAGCTGGCGCTGCGCCTGCTGCTGCCCCCCGTCGGCCGACGACGACGCCGACGACACCGACGACCGACCGACCGACCGACCGACGACGACGATGACGACGACGAGCAACGACGATCGACAGCAGACGACGACGGCGGCCAGACGACGATGGCCGAAGACGACAGACGACCACCGACGACGCCGACGTCGGCGACGGCCGCCCAGCGACAGCGGCGACCCTCGCAGACGACCGACGGACGGTGGCCGTCCGACGACAAAGGCGACCCTTGCAGACGACGGGTGGACGACGACCGACGGCCGACGGACGGCGGCGGCCGACGATTGCGAGCGACGGCGGCGGGCGGGCGACGACGGCTGACGGCCACCGACGGATGGCCGACGGGAGGCGGGCCGCGAGCGAGGGGGGGCCGAGCAGCGCCCCGTGCCGCCGAGGCCCTGGCGCTGACCGGATGCGAGGCGACGGGAAGGCCCCGCTGCGGGGATCGCGGCAGAGCTGCGCGCCATCATCATCATCATCATCATCATCATCATCATCATCATCATCATCAGCAGCATCAGCAGCATCATAATCCTGTTCATCCACCTCCTCCTCCTCCTCATCCTCCTCCTCCTGTTCATCCACCTCCTCTTTCTCCTCCTCCTCCACCTCATCATCATGATCATCCTCATCATCCTCCTCCTCCTTCTCCTCCTCCTCCTTCTCCTCCTCCTTTGCTCCTCCACACTCCTCCACTTTCCTCCGCC